TGGATTTCGATATCAATGAATCTCTTAAATATTATTTGAGCGACCCCGCCTCTGTTCCCACCCCGGAAGCAGACCCGGAGCTGCTGGACTGCGAAAATGACCCCGAATCGCTAACCAGTCCCCTGATAAATGCGGTGCTGAACCCCATAGTCGACGCTGTAGCCGAGAACCCAGAAGGCCTGGCAAGAAGCAGCTTCTTCGACTCGTTGCAATTTCTCCTCAAGTGTGCCCCAACTCCTGTACTCTCTCAACAGCAAAGTTTCCACCAGCTAGAACCAAAATCTGAACTATTTAAACTATCTAGATTCTCTTCCCTACTCCCGACAAAGTCTCTCAGCAAGATTCTGGATCTTGTTGTCTCGGGTCTTGCGGTCGAAGCCGATATTAGCCACCATGACATCGAGTCCGATGAAACTGATGCCGTTCAGCATCACAAACGACTTTTGGAAATGTACGCATTCCTGCTACACTGGACATTGTCTGTAGTAGAGACAAAACTGGCAGAAAAGCCCGCTATAGCGGCCCCCGCGCGGCGCGGAACCGGAAAATCAAGACCAAAGCCTGCCACAAACGATGAGCACTGGGACTCTTCCGCTCAAATCCAGATTGCCATGGATGTCATGTGTAAAGTATTGAAGCTAAAACTTGGGAAGATATTCATGACCACCTCCGATCGTGACACGTTTGTGAGCCTGTTTACCAAGACAATATACTTGATTTTAGAAAGCGAGCAACGAGTGAAGAGCATGTCAATTCGAATGCATGCATTTAAAGTCCTATGCATTGCTGTTAAGCATCATGGTCATGCTTTTGGTATGATCTAGTTTTGCCGACTTCTCTGCTTCCTTATCTCATCTAACCAGCACATTAGGAGCGCAAACCTCAATTGTCCAAAGCCTCACATATTTTGAGCACCTTTCAGAGCCCATGGCGGAGTTTCTACATATCCTCGCGGAACAGTACGATTATCCGCAGTTGTCAGATGAAATACTAAGGTATATGACGAATAATTCACTAGCTTAAAAAAATCAATTGTTACTTATGAATTTTAATAGGGAACTTGGAAACAAGGAATTCAATTCAAACGACACTAAAGGCCCAAAATCAGTGTCTGCATTCATTATTAGACTTTCAGAACTTGCACCGAGACTGATCATTAAGCAAATGACTCTTTTGGCAAAACAACTTGATAGCGAGGTGATTCACCACCTGTGTTCTTTTGGATTCGCAAACGTATCAAATGGCTGACGTTGATTTAGGCTTATACGCTGCGATGCGCTGTAATCGAAGTGTGCGGGAACCTGATATCAGATTTAAGCAAGCAGGAAGAAAGAGGTGACAACTATACAACGCAAATCAACTCTTTCTTTGACGTGCTAGAGGAACGATTTTTAGACATCAATCCATACTGCCGATGCCGTGCCATTCAGGTTTATATGAAACTTGCCGAACTAGATCAAAAATTCCCGAAACGGCGACAAATGGCAGCAGAGCTCGCAGCTAGAAGTCTCGAAGACAAGAGCAGTAATGTTCGCAGGAATGCAATTAAATTGCTCGGCAAATTGGTCTCTACCCACCCGTTCAGTGTCATGCACGGCGGTCAGCTCTCGTTTAAGGAATGGGATGCAAGACTCCAGGCTGTAGAGGCGGAATTAAATTCGCTAAGGCCTCCCCCCGAGACACCTGGTCTAGGCGAGGATGTGGATGCCACCAACATCGACAGTGAACTGCTTGACGATGCTACGCAGATGCCCGACGAGTCTCCTTCGAAGGCTCCTAGATTGACCGAGGAACAGAAACAAGAGGCTATGAGGAAGGCCGCAGAGGAGGCAGCAACATCTGAACTGCTCACAAGGCTCCAGCTGACGAGAAAATATTACCTTGAAGCAATTCGATTTATCGAAGTCCTTCACCATGCTTCCCAGATCGTTTCACAGTTATTGTCGTCTCGAAATAAGAGCGAAGTGATCGAAGCAATGGACTTCTTTGTTATGATTGACGCCTACAAAGTTGAGACTGCCCGTGCTGGTATTCGACGAATGCTCCGCCTAATATGGACTAAAGGAAATAGTGACGAGGGAAAGGGAGTTCAAAGCCATTTGATTGACTGCTACAAAGGCTTATTTTTTGACGCCCCAGACTCCTTCAGTTCTAATGATGCCGCCAACTATATCGCCCGGAACATGATCAGTCTCACTTTTGGCGCCACGCCAGCTGAACTCACTTCTCTAGAACAACTGCTCAGTACAATGATGAAAATTGGTCATATTTCGGATCTAGTTATTGCCAAATTATGGCAGGTGTACAGCGTCCAAAAGAAAGAAATCTCGAAGACTCAAAGGAGAGGGGCAATTATAGTTCTTGGAATGATTGCCCTAGCCGACCCTGAGGTTGTGGTGCGAGAGATAGAAGCAATGCTTCGTGTCGGCTTGGGAAGCCTTGGGAGGGCAGACCTTGTACTTGCCAAATACACCTGCATCGCGTTGAAAAGAATGAAGCCCGGTCGGCAAGCAAAGTCCAAGGATGTCGTCTCTCCTAAACTGTCGAATGACCACGCAGTACTCAGCAAACTGGCTGCTATGATCGAGATTGACTCGGATAGCAAGGAGTGGTATGGTGTTGCGGAACATGCGATTGGAGCAATATATGCGCTCTCGAAACACCCCGATGTGCTTTGCTCCGAAATCCTTCGCCGGAAAACGAAGTTCGTATTCCAGCCACACATGCGACCCCGTTCATCCCAGGATAATACCAGTATGGCTTCAGGCGGCTTGGAGGAGCCCCAAACCCCTAGACGGAAAACGAGCTCTGTTCCGCTGTCACAATTACTTTTTATAGTCGGTCACATCGCTATCAAACAAATAGTCCATCTCGAACTTTGCGAACTTGATTTCAAACGTCGAAAAGCCGAACAGGAAAAGAACAGAAGTACAGACCCAGCCCCCCAAAAACCGAATCAGCCGTCCGAGGATGATGAGCTTGATCTTATTGGCGGTACTACAGAAGACGACTTTACAGAGGCAATGGCTCATATTCGTGAACGTGAGCTCCTATATGGGCCGACGTCATTGCTCACCAATTTCGGCCCACTAGTTGCTGAGATTTGCGCTAATAATAATACATACCCTGATCGCAATCTCCAGTCTGCTGCAACTCTGTGCATGGCCAAACTTATGTGCGTATCCGGTGAATATTGCGAGAAGAACCTGCCTCTTCTCATCACCATAATGGAGCGATCGGAAGACCCAATCGTTCGAAGCAACGCTGTCATTGCTCTCGGCGACATGGCCGTTTGCTTTAACCACCTCATCGATGAGAACACCGATTTCCTCTATCGACGGCTCAATGACAGTGACGTTTCAGTCAAACGGACTTGTTTAATGACTCTAACATTCCTCATCCTTGCTGGCCAAGTGAAAGTCAAAGGCCAGCTGGGCGAGATGGCAAAATGCCTCGAGGATGATGATAAACGTATTGCTGATCTGGCGCGGATGTTCTTCACCGAGCTGGCCTCGAAGGATAATGCAGTCTACAATCACTTCGTGGATATGTTTAGCTTGTTGAGTACGGAGAAGGGCTTGGAGGAGGATGCACTGCGGAGAATTATCAAATTTCTGGCTGGGTTTGTAGAGAAGGTATGGTCTTCCACCCATCAACTAGTGATTCGACTGCCGTGCGCCTTTGTATTGACTTTATTCCTAGGATAAACATGCTAAGCAGCTGGCCGAGAAGCTTGCGGCCAGATTAGCCCGGTGTGAAAGTGAAAGGCAATGGAATGATGTTGTCTATGCCCTGTCACTCCTGGCGCACAAAAATGAGGAAATCACCAAGACCGTCACGGCCGGCTTTAGGGTTGTCAAGTCGAATGCCTGAGTTGGGTGTTTTCGGTTTCAGGATGGGTGTTCTTATAACCTTTCGCTTTTGATTTGTATGTATCAGCGTTGTTTTGTTGGGAGAGGCTTCAATAGGACCTAGGGTCCAGCTTGTGTGTAGCAATTGGCGTCTGAAAGCATAGGGAGGTTTTTACTTGATTGCAGATTGGCATGGGTTGGTGGGATGAATGTATGAAAGGGTGACTTGACATTGACTGGGCTCATGCTGGATAAATTCGTGTTCTTATTTCCTACTTGGTCAATAATAATGCAGGTCTATAATGGCGAATTGTTCATAATGGTATCTTTCCAAGGTTGTTATGTCCTTCCCTAACCTCACTTTTCGCAGACTGCTGCTTTTATCCAATGCAAGTTACCTTGGAAGGAAAGGACTCGAGCGGCGAAATATTCACTAACCAAAGGATAATTTCCGAGCCACGTTGCATATTCTCATGACATATAGCCACTATGAAGGAGACAGACTAGAGTTGGATAGCAAAGGAGGAAGAGTACAGAGAGTAAAGGGCATAGTGTGTAAGCAAGGAATACATGTTTCTGATATTTCAAGTAAGAAAAGTGCACGTGGTAGGGAATGGATAAAATGACGCGGACATACACAAGTAGTCTATCAAGTGGAAATATATGAAAATGGTGACTTCTATATCAAGCTTGCTAGAGATAAAGAAACTTCGGGGGAAACGTTCCCTCCTAGGTTGGAAACCTTTTTCGGGGAAAAGATGGCGCGAGGATGAGGAAATGAAACCAAGCAAGATAGAGAGTAGCATTAGCAATAGGAAAAGGGAATGGAGGGAATGAAGGGAATCTAAAGCAAAGGACATGCACTGATACGTATGTGATGATGCATTCACGAATATTAGTGGTAAAAAAAAAGGCAAAAAGTTAACTGAAAAAATAGTAAAAAAATAAAAAGAAAAAGAAAAAGAAAAAGAAAAGAAAGGGCTTCTGAAATCCTGCTACTCTTTCGACTCAAATCAACTTCTACAACCCTCATTCGATCTGTAGTCTGTACAGTGCCGGTGTAATGCAACGTGCAATGAATGTAGCAAACCAGACCAATAAACCCCAGACGAAGCAAAATGGCGCCTAACACCTATCCATGCCATAGTACTAAATACTCCCGGCCGTATCTCCATTCCCAGTTGGCCCAATCCACTCAAGCATGAAATTTCCCTCGTGCAAACCCTTAAGCAGCCTCTCCCCATCCGCCGTAAGTTCGGGCTTCCCCGACGATGCAACGGGTACGGTAAAAAAGCGCGGCTTCCACTCCTCATTCCTCTCCTTTCTTGCAGAAGCCAGCTGTCTCTGCTTCTCCTCCAACTCTTGCTTCAACTTCGTTGCAAGGCTATACTGCTTCTCACCAATGGCAGCGGTAACGCGAGACCAAAACTTGCGCGATTCGTTGGGTAGCTGTTGGTCATCTGGTGGTATGAGTTTTGAGACTGGAAAGAGGGGAGCGATGTCGATAAGGAGGTGTTTCTCTCTGTCCTTGTCTTTCTCTTTACCCCCATCCGTGTCTTTCCCTTTGCGCGCATTGCATATATTGGATTCCGTGGGGGTTAGGGTATAATAGATCTTCTCATGCCAGCAACCTTCAATGCGGGCCAGCACATCCGACTCAGGTACGTCCTTAATTTTAAATTGGTTATCATTCTCCGGATCATAGCGGAAGATGATACCAACAACCCTATTCTGTGCTTTACCTATCCAGCCTTCATCAAGGTACTGTAGGATGGCTTTTATGCGTGTCTCCGCGCAGGTAATGAAGCATGTGTCTGAAACTGTGATGGAAAGTGAGCCGCGCAGCAGGCCGCCCAAGTGTGCCGCTGGATGCGTGAGTTGGTATTCTTCATTGCCCCGGTCCCGCAGGGTTATGAATATACCTAGGTTATGCTGTCCAGGGGTCACGCGGATGCTGGTCCCAGTGAACTTGGCGCTAATCTGATCAAAGCCGCGGGCAGTGATGCCCCGCTGGGGGCAGTCGACATAGAAGGCGGAGACCGGTGGGTGGTGCGAGGTTTGTTCGGTTAAGTAAGATATTTTCACTCGCTCTGAACCGCCACTGATAGCTGCCGAAGTGGTGGAGGCGGCGGAGGTGTGAGCGGTGGTGGCGATCGGGTTTTCAGTATCTTCTATTTCCCAGTTACACTGAAAATGTGATTAGCACTATTTAATCTTCCGGAAGGTGGAATCAAGAGGGTTTAAACAAAATTGTCGAAATGCGCACCCGGAAAAATTCGCCCAAAGCTGAGTTATACGGTTTGCAGGGCTTTCCTTTGATATATTTCTATGGCTCACTTTCAGAAGGGGCCTTCCCAGCGGAAAGATCGTAGCGCTTAACTTCCATTAGGACGACTCACGAGATCCTTTGTAAACCAAAACCGCAGGACTTCCAGCATCCGGCCGAGATGGTCGTCAGATTTTCCAATGCTACAGTAGCCAGTTAGCTTCCAGCTTCATATCTTTGAAGCAGTTCCGGAGCCCGAACCTAACAAATGTTTCCGGTCTATCCAAGTAATTCCAATATTCTTTTTTTATAAATAGGCCAAGCGGCCAAGCGGTCAGTCAGTTGGGCATGTTCTGGAGCTGGCAAAAAGGGGGACAGGAGCAGGGTTCTCGAAAAAGACAAAAAATATATCCAAGAGACCTAGAAAAGTGTCTAGCGCACCTAGATTCGGAGTTGGCTCGAGGAGTTGGGCTGGGAGAGAGAAACGAACGGTCGCGATATCCGAGACACCGATGAACCTGTTTGCATTTTTCAAAAACGAGAAGTATATCCAATCAGCCCATCTGACTTGTCAATAGATTGTCTTGGGAAATCATTCTTGTGGGATCAACTATCCGCTGTTCTCTTCTGAGCTTCTGGTTCCGCTTGCAGTTCTGGCTCGACACCACGCAAAATTGCTCATAACAGCTCCAACTTACTGTCTCAGGATCCCTAAGAACGTCTTTAACTTTGACGAATCATCTGGAGCTTTCTCGGGAACGGCGGAAGCAATGGTGTTAGCCGTCGTGGTGGTGGTGCCAAGTGACGCTACTACTCCGTCGTCGAGGTTGTTTGACATGGCGGAGCCAAGAGAGGACCGGGGTTTTAGGGTGTCGAACACGGAGGAGGCACCCGAGAACGAGGATGCCATGAAGTGTACTACAGGTCGATTGTTGGTGAGATCTCTTCCGCGGAAGACGAGGAGAAACCAGTCAGGGTAGTTAGTAGTTAAGTTACCTGATGCTTGTAACCAAGGTGAGATCACCGGCAAAGCATCATCATCATAGCCGGGCCGGGCGCTGCTTCGGGGTTAGCGCCGGCTGACTCATCCACACCCAAACCTTTCGACCGCCTTGTTCCCAGGAAGCAGAAAACTTGACCTGACACTTTGTAGATAGATCTATCAATACAACCTTCAACTATTCTACAACCAGTTAACTAGTTACCTTTCAACAGTTGTCACTCATTTGTATTTCCTATGTTCTTATGTTATCTTGGCGCGGTCTCAACACTTGGCCTGTATTTAACATCATGCAAGGACTCATCATAAGCTCTGCTTGCATATGAGTATAATGGAAGAAGAAGAATAAGAATAATATGTGATGGAGGCTCTCAACGGGTTGTTGATTCCTTATTTATTATTTTTGAGCAAAAGATTGAACACGACTTCAACAATTGGCGTATGAGGGTACTTCTATTTCCATTTTATCCTCTTAAGGTACGAGCAATCTATAAAACGCACCCGATCCATCGCTAGACTTGCAGCAGCTACGATTAATATTTGTACTGGGCAGATTTCAACGTGGGTATGGCTTTTGAACTATCCTACGGAATTGCCTGAATAACCCCCCCTCTTTGGACGAAGGATTTTACAGAAGATACAACTATTAAATGAAAGAGGTAAAAATGACGACGGTGGGAAAACGTGCAGTCTGTCCACTCTTACTATTGCTAGGATCGATTACATACATGCACAGAGCGATTTGGAAACGAAAACGAAACAGGGACGTGAGAAAAGCAAACACAAAAGCATATAATGAAACAATTTCAGCAACCAACTACTGAACATTTCCGGCCGTCGAATATAGCGCGCATTACATTGGATGTGTCGCGAAAGCCAGCCGGTCGCTTCTGTCCCCATAATGGCCGAATGATGCGGCCGGGACAGTAGCAAGTTTGCGTATCAGATAAGGGATTGAGCAAAGCTTCTTCGTACTCCCTACGACGAAGAAGTATTCGTTTCCACTTTTTCCAGGTTTCAGCAGCTTTCTTGTTTTCTCCTGCTTTTGCCAAGTGTTGGAACATCTCACGTCGGGCATAGCCATGGTCAGTTCTGCTTGCGGAAATGTTTCGAGGGAAAGCACAATACTGACAGGTCGATCCTCAGTCTTTTGAAAGTCGGCATATTTCCCTCGATATTTCTCTTCATGCTTCTCAGCTTCCTTGTTGTGATAACTCGACCGTGGAGTCCTTAGTCGAGGGGAGCTGCTCGGCTATAGACATCTGAAATATCGAAAGACCTCCTGTTAGAGTATGGTATCTTCTACAGGAATCACTGGTTGGACAGTCAGCCTCACCTTTGCGGGTAGGAGTGGAAGTATCTGGATATAAGACAAATAATTGGGTCACGGTGAGACGGCTCTTTGATAGAGCTACTGGGTTGCTGCGTTGGAAGTAGCACGCTATTCAAAATTTCAGATTATGCATACGACGCAAGTCTCAAAGATGGCAGTCAACCATGGAGAAGAGGGCCCAATGGTATGATATTATTGGGAAACATTGATACCGCTATTCCAATCAATGGTCCTTGAACAGGAAAACTTGAGACTTCAGCGGTCTTTAAGCGCCAGGAGCGAAACAATCAACGCCGGGTTGAATGGCCGATGCTCATCACCCAAGCAATAATTTCCGCCGGCTCGCGCATGCAGACAAGTGCATGCGGAGAAAAATGCAAAGCCCTGTCATTAATGAGGCTTATTTATATTGAGCTTACATTGGGTATGCTAAAAGTTCTCGACATTCAAAAATTCTTGGAACCTTGTCGGCCAATGAAAATTGAATTTGGAGAGAAAATATCTCATAGATTCTGTTTTTAGTAAAAGGCTTGTCAGGTTCTGACGGCAATGCAACTTTTAGATTTATTAGCTATGAGATTAAAGCGCTGTTAGAGATTTAGTCAGCTCTTTTAAGTATGATGCTTTCTGCAACGAAGATAAAAGTTATTTCTGCTATGTTCGATTTGAGTAATAGCATCAGGCAAAGGGGTAGAGCTTCTCTCATTTTCAGTAATAAGTCTCTGTGCTGCATTGCAGATATAATCTCTATATATTTTATAATGATTTTGCCGACAGATAGCACAGCATATGTTCCAATTAAATCGCAATCATGTCTTTTAAGGCGCTTCACCAAAATCATAATGCCCAGTTTCCGTAGCATGTATGGTAGCCCCCCTCTCGCCCACAAACCGGCCTCCGCAGGTATTACATTGAATCCGAAACGACGCAGTGTCCGTATAATAGTGCCTACCCTGCAGGATCTTGCATAGCGCCAGAGCCCGTTCCAAGATAATAGGGTCCTCTGAATCGAATATCTTCGTGTCGAATTCTGGTGGCGCATATGCATGCGTATACGGCTCATCGGACGGGGAGAGCGCGATGACGTCGTAGTGGATGCCCGAATACACCACGATGCACCTTGTCGGCGGGCCCTCGTTGAAGCGATCAACGCGTAGCGACTGTACATCTATGGAACAGATTTCGATGTCAAAGCGTTTGCTCAGGATGCTTAATTCGATCCCGCCGCCCCACGAGTCCTCCGTCTGGATCCATCGGCAGTAGTCATCTGGGGCTTTTTCTAGTACCGCTGCTGAATACACATCTGGCTGTTCTTGGATTGTTTGCGCAACTACCGACCGCAGCTCGGTCATTGCGTCCATTGCGCCCATCACTGCGCTGCTAACCGCTCGGAATAGACAGGAATTATCATCGGGCATTATGCGGAGGACAACCGTACCACCGTGTTCCGGCGATGGGATCTCGGGAGGGTCATTTTCAACGGCGGTGTTGCCCTTGCGGGACAGTGATAGCGGTTTCGAGATATTTCTCGCTGCTGGCTGAATTTTCTGCGCGGCTCTATTCGAATCTATCTGACAAGCAGTGTTCGTCATAACAGATTGTTGCTGCTGTTGCTGGCCCGAACTGACTGAAGTGCCCGTCGTAGATCCCCCCTTCTTGCTAATAATGAGCTGCTCTCCACTAAGATTCGTTCCAATTTCGGTGATGGACCGAGCGGGGTCCAGCTGGGAGAGGTCGAGCGGCTTAGGAGGGTAGCCGTACTTGATATCATACGATGTCAATGCTGTTTTCTCGCTGATCTGGGCCTGTAGGTCATGGATGGTGGCGCTTTCATCAAGGGAAATTGTAGACTGGCCTCCAGGGCCACGTATGCGAATCTTCATCGTTTGGATCAAAGAGAATTAAGTTATGATAGCGCTTTAGGAAATATCTGAGAACGAGAACGCCCTTAAATAGGGATATGTAATATAAATATGTATCCTATTAAACAACAACCTTGGGAAACTTCGTAGTTACCCGGACTCCGCGGCTTCAATAATATAGAATTATAATGATCCACCCGTAGACGGAGACGGGGTCAGTACAATGAAATTAGAGAGTGACTTCCGGATGTCTCAGTGAGCGCAGTAGGTAGCTTAAGTGGGAGACACAGAAAAAAGAGCCTGTCGTGGCAATGGAGTGAAGGAAACGAACAAAGAGAGAGGCCTTGCTTCGGTTTCCTGATGTCCCGCAATAGCGCGGCGGGACCTGGCGCTTGGCGCTTGGCGCTTGGCGTCTGTCGCCTATAGTTACTTTGTCACGGCTGAAGCTATGCTATAGCGGAAGAACATTTATCCTCCGATTAGTATTCTTTCTGGGCTGGACAGGAGCATCACTGTCACCAACAAGGAGATACCACGCACGCGTTGCTAGCTGTGATGCTCGATTGCGGTACTTCCTACTCCTCCAGCGATTATACCACCCGCTTTCTACAATTCACGTCTCCCTTGCACTCAGCCAAAATTGATTGATCGTCACTTCTCGCCATGACAGAGGAGAGCGCCGGACCAGAGCTTCAGCCCGCCTCTACCTCCGCCTCCACCCCGGTCCCCGCGCCTGAGACTAGGACTGGAACTGAGACTGAAACCCAGCAGGGCGGTAGTCTCATCCAGCAACTCTCAGAACAGGCCAACCAACCCACCGAGCAGCCGGAACAACCGCCACAACCTTCTCAAACCCCCGAGCTTCCTGAGACACCACAACCGTCGAAGGCAACGCCAGAAGATTCTAAACAAAATGAAGGCAGTAACCCTGAGAACCGGGTAACCGATGAACAATGGAGAGCTATGTTCGATATTGTCCTAGCGATCTATGACTATCGCGAACCGGAGTATGATATGCGCCCGCTCCGTTCCTATCATGGTTTTAGTCGTCGAATACTAAACTAAAAATATTAAATAGTGGATACGACCCCTCGCGCCTTTTCCATCGCAGCGTCAACAAACGTAATGTCCCGGACTACTACGATGTCATCAAAGAACCTATGGCACTGAGCGTACTAAAGCAAAAAATCAAGAATAAATCCTACACTGATTTTGCCGAGTTTGTAAGAGATTGTGCATTGGTAAGTATTCTGTGCCATGACTTCCCGTCTACTTTTACTGCTAGAGTTCCAGGAACAGACTGTCCTTATATTCCGGCGCGCTTTCTATCTAGATTCCCCACAACGCGCAGACATATAATCGCCCTAAATCCCAAGCATACGAAGATGCGCTAGTCATCAAGGTTTGTCACTTCATTATACCCAACTATCTGTGCATAAACATTGAGTATTAGCAAAAGTCTAATAATGTGTTTTCTTTACAAAAAATTAGGATGTGTTTATTTCTGAGTTCGGCAAACTCGTCGAGCAAGGGATAATTTCTTCAGAGACAGCCGAATTTCCAGACCTGGGAGAAATCCCCGACGCAGACCCTCTTCCAGTCGAGGAAGATGAGGAGGAAGAAGAGGATGAGGACGAGGAAGATGATGAGGCTGAGGATTCAGATGATGAAGCCGGCCGCCGCAGACGGAAACGACCAACACGTGGATCCTCCAAACGAGAAAGTGGTGCTAAAGATGACCCAAACAAAATTAACGACCCCGAGCTACGAAAAAAGCGTGGTCGCCCGCCTCGCGTTGATACGCCGATGGAAGCGCGAATCAAGGCTGTTTTGAAGGGGATACGCAAGTTCAAGGATTCCTCGGGCCAGCTAAAGGTTCGCCATTTCGAGCGGTTACCTGACAAGGCTGCCTATCCTGATTATTTCTCGGAGATCAAGGACCCCATGGCGATCGATCTCATTAAAAGGAAATCTAAGAGGAAGAAGTACAATTCGGTTGACCACTTTATGAAGGATATGGACCTCATGTTTAACAACGCCAAGGCGTATAACCAGGTGGATAGCCAAATATACAGGGATGCTGCTGCTTTGCAGTCGGAGGCACGTAAGTTAGCTGACCAGGAGAAGAAAAAGCCGGACAGCGAGTATCTGATGGAGGATGGACGACTGCCTTTGCCTAATGGTATCTTACATAAGGGCGAACTTTGGAAGGTTGGGGACTGGGTCCATATTCAAAACCCGAACGATGTAACAAAGCCGATAGTTGCCCAGATTTACCGAACGTGGCAAGATGCGGAGGGTCAGAAATGGGTTAATGCCTGCTGGTACTACCGTCCTGAACAGACAGTTCACCAGTATGAGAAGCACTTTTACCCTAACGAAGTCGTGAAAACTGGCCAATACCGAGATCACCGAATCGGGGAAGTTGTTGATCGATGTTTCGTCATGTTCTTCACCCGTTACAACCGTGGGAGGCCACGAGGGCTGGCGCCAGACAAACAAGTTTATGTTTGTGAAGCACGATACAATGAGGAGAAACATAAACTCAACAAGATCAAGACCTGGGCTAGTTGTCTGCCAGACGAAGTTAGAGAAAAGGATTACGAGATGGATCTTTTCGACGCGCCTCGGAAGATCAAAAAGATACCTAGCCCGATAAAGCACTTGCTCAAGGAGGATGCGAAGGAAACAGATGATGTACCTAAACCGACTTGGGGTGCAGAGAATGCGCCACCGATTGTGGGTGCAGTACACCGCCGACCAAGAGAGGAGAACGTAAGCCATCACTTTACATCTTTCTCACGTATCAGCCGTACGTAAGTAAACAGCAACATTGACTGACACATATTTCTATAATTTAGGAATCCCCACCTCCAGAGCCCACCCCATCACCGCCTCCACAACTTCCTGCGCCCCCGGTCGCACCCGTCGCACCCCAGCGTCAAATATCTATAAATCGTGCTCCGACCCGCCAGAGTATGGACAGCACAGGCGATTACCGCATGAGCGCCAGTCCCTTACCCTCCCTACCCTCTCGCTCACCCGGCCAACCAACTCCCCATGCCCCGCCAGCCGCCCTGAGTCCCCAACCGCCCATCACACTAACGCGCATGCAACAACCATTCCCCCCTCAATCTGCAGCCCCAACAGCTGCCGCCCCGGTCTACCCGGCAGGCAACCTTAATCACCGCCCAGGACCCCCGTTTGCAACCCAGGCCCCACAATCCACCCCAATCTACCAACAACCCCTGCCACCACAACCCTACTCAGCCCCGCACAACTTCCCTTCATACCAAGCCAGCCGCTATCATCCCCATCCCCAGCCCATCCCTCAACCCCACTTCCAGCAACAATCACAACTACTACCCCAGCCGCAATCTCAGCCGCATCCCGTCATCCCAGCCAACGTTTACAACCCAAACGCACCCCGACCAGTTGAAACGTTCATATTAAGCGATAATGCCAACGCGGCTATCCCGGAAGAAATCCGACGACAATTTCACTGCGATGAGAAAGGGCGCGTACTATTTTTCACGACCCCACCGCTAGACGTCGTCCCGCCAGCGGAGCAGACGGGGTTAGGACATTCACTGCGCTATCTGGCAGCGAAGAAGGAGAGGGCGAAGCTCATTGAGAAGAGGAGGGCGGAGAGGGAGAAAATGGAGCAGGAGAGAGAAGCAAAGCGGTTGAAGATGACCACCTCCACAACCACTACCGGTACCGACGCATGTAGTACTGATAATAACGAAAGCCTCGCGACAGCCGATTGGAAAACGCTCTCCGAGCTCGCGCTAATGGCAACTGTTGCGCAAATGAAGCAGGCTGATCGGGATTGGTATCGAATGCGTTACGGAGAGGAGGATGTTATGAAGATTAAAGAGGCAGATGATGAGAGGTATATGAGCATCTTGAAGGAGAAAGCGAAGGCGGATGCGGCGACGGGGAAGTTAGATATTGAGGAGCCTGTAAGCGTAGTGCCCATAGTTAGTCTTAGGGCTGGAGGGGGTGGTTTAGACGTTTAGACGTGTGATTTATGATGTCAGCTCTCTCTTTGAAAGGGAAGGGCTCTCGTATGTGTACGATGTCATATGGTTCTTGTCTTAGTGATTTCGCACCCCGGTTGTTTTATCTTTCTGACTGTATTTCTTCTATTTGTATCTTTTTATTATTTGAATTTTCTAAACTTCCGGCTATTTGGCTTTTAGCTGGGCTTCGGCTTTGGAGCGGGGGGCTTATTTTCTTATTCTTGTATAACATATCTAGGTAGATAAGGAAATAGAAATGGAAACCAAGATTGAAAGTTAACGAATAGGAATTTAGCTTCTAGGGTTAAGTTGAAGCATAGTGTAACCTGTATAGGGTTGCCTACCCCCCATCCCACCGCTTCTTCAAGTTACCAATTCGTTTCCTTCTCTGAATGATAATGGAAAACATGAAGATGAAAATCTCAACACAGGGAAGAGGGCTTCGCATTAGTTTGATGAATCTATGAATATATATCACTTGAACAGCTGAATGGCCAGGGGATTGATGGTGCCTAAAATATTGAGTGTTGAGAATAACAACTAAACACATACATGTACATGTACATCAATGCAGAGCTCAATGTGTGCATGTATGTGCATGTATGTCTGTAAATAAAGACAACATGCAGAGAGAGGTTTCGCGAATAAATACTCAGGGAGGTTCAGGGGTGCTCAGGGGCATGTGGTGAATGAATATATATGGCGAGACATATTGTGAGATAAAGGGTATAAAGTTGAAAGAAAGGGAGTTTGTATGGGAGTGTAAGAGAGAGCTCTTCTGCGAAGACATGACTCCTGGTCAATCTTGAATGTAGCTTCCGTTTTTCTGACCCATTTTTCCAATTTTTTCTTCCAGTTTTAGATACAATGGGGAATGAAATGGCAGTAGAATAGGAGTAAAGGCTTGAGATAGATAAGTGTGATATAATATATAGAAAAACGACAAATGGTAAGAGAAACAAGGAAAGGAAATCAAGCGGAAGTGAAGGAGGGAGGCAGATGTGGATATATATATAAAACAAACTTTCAAGAATGAGAACAGTTTGAAATTATAAATATTGAATGGGAAAACAGCGAAGGTTAGAATAATAATAATGATGATAATAATAAGATATATAAGATATATAAAAGACCAGGAAACAAAAATCAAGACGAGAATGAGGTGTGTGATAAATTAAGAAAGGAAACATAAGATGGAACCCAATTTTTTTTTTTTTTTTTTTTTTTTTACGCCCGCCCCCCACCATAGAGCGACTCCATTTCCTTTAGAAGTGTCTTCCCTTTCGCACCACCACTCTCCTTTTGACCCTGTATTGCCGTCGCGGTGGCCGTGTTCTCCTTTTGCTGCCGTTGTGACTGGACTCCTGTTCCACCAGGCGCCGTTGAGGCATCATCCGTCGCCTTAGTCGTCGAAGGCTTATTATTGATATTACCACTATTATTCCCACCGGTGGCGCTGGTATTACTATCATTGTTGTTATTATTAGTATTAGTATTCGAACTCCAAACGACGCTATTCCGCTTATTATTTTCCTCTTCTTCCATGGAAAACACAAGATCGCTTTGTTCTTCGTCGATCCTGCTCGTGCTGATGGGGGAAGAAACGGTGCGGTCGAGACGCCCAGAGCCAGCGCCAAAGCCGCTGCCACCAACACCAGCTGAAGAGCCATGCCGGGCTGAGCTGGGATGTAGTGAAGTGCTGCTGAGTTGTTGCGAGATCATGGACATGGAAGGTTGGCGGGAAGGGCTGGCGATGAAGGGAGAGACGTCTCCAGAGCTGGGACGGCTGCCGATGGGGCGTAGATTGGGATTTGGGCTCGCGGCGTGGAAATTCAGAGAGGATTCGCGAAGCGGAGAACCAACGTGTCCTAGGCCGACGGCCTGTCCTTCCTCCTCCTTCCTCTGTCGCTGTTTGGCGAATATTGCACCGAATCGTGATGGACTGGATGCTAGTGGCGACCCCACTTTGCTGGACCCTGTTCCGGGCATGCCCAGGCCACTGAAATCCCTGCTGCTGCTGCTGTTGTCCTGCTCCGTCCGTGACAGTCGTCTCATCCTCTCCTGCGGGGTCAGCACGTCGTCATGGAGGTTTGTCGGTAGGTAGTCCTCTTCCAGAGTGAAGCTATCATCCCAGTCACTCAAGGCGGTTGGGCGCGGGAGACTTGCTGAGAGGATCTTGGGTCTTGCCACACGTCGCGAATGCATCAGTCGGGGGGCCGATCCCTCGTCATGGAAGACGGGTGGCGAGGAGCCGAGGTTTGATGGCTTCCGCGAATCCAATCCAAATGCAGTATCGTGAAGATTGCGAACGATGTCTGAAGGGGGACCCGCCCGCTGAGAAGGGGGAGAGGATAGATCGAGGCCGAATTTGGAGGGAAGAGAAGCTGCCACAGGGCCATGTCGCGCCATGTATGATATCCCCTGGCTATCAAAAGAGGCGGGCAGAGGTGCATCGAGAGCTGTACGGCCAATTGGCGACATTGGGAGTCTCGGTTCTTCGATGGGGGAGCCGTACTTGGAACCTGTATCAGACACGAGGCCTGCATCTATTGTTGGGATACCACCATCGTATTGACCAGGTCCTTGCTGTGGTTGGCCATATATCTCTTCCTGGCCCGGGTACGGGTAGGAGTATCGCGAGGGGTGACCATTTACCCGTTGTTGTTGAGAGAGTAGGGAATTTGCAAGGGCTGAGTCTTGGGTGTGGTAGGGGGTAGGGTTGACACGGCCACCTAGATTGAGATGGCCGCCACTCATTCCCATAGGTAGGTTTGGTCTGTTAACGCGCCGCCCGTCGGGCAGGATATGCGCTAGTGCGCACTTTGCACCAAATTTGCAGTTTCCCTATATTCCACGCATTAGAATTTTTTTGTTATTTTTTTATCTTGCACTGTACAAAGCAGATAGGCGCATAGGTGGAAATACCTTTGTGAAATATTTGCATGGGGCGGAATCAACGGTGGAATCTGTAGAGTGGAGGAAAGGACAGGCGGGGCCAGCTTGACAGGCTCCTTGCCGGAAGAATTTGCAAGGGACATGTTTCGTATCTGAGTGCGAGATGCATTAGCCAGGCCATAAATGCTAAAACCAACAATAGAATATGGGAAAAAGGGAATGATATAGGGCGAAATGTACTCTTGCTGGTTGCACTCGGAGGACTGCGGGCTAGGTCGAAAGGCGGGAGACCTGACATATTGCGGACATGGCCGTTATGCATATGTGCTGGAGGACCCGACGGTACGGGTAGTGGGACTTGGTTTCGTAGGTCGTTTGCCATTCGAGACTGCGACGGGCGAGGAGGAGGAGCGCCGCCGTCTGGGGGGTGAGATAGCGGGTATAGTAGCTGGTCTCGTGGGTGGGGATGTAGAGGTTGTTTTTGTTGTTGTTGTTGTTGTTGTTGTTGTTGTTGCGGCGGTTGCTGATGCTGATGCTGATGCTGATGCTGCTGAGGGTGCTGCTGCATGGCACTTCGGATGGGGCGGAGAATGAGGACGAGCTGCAGAAGACCAGCGGTAGGCAGGAGGGAAGAGGAGGCTGCAGTCGTGGGGGTCGAAATAGGAGTTGGACGGTGAAGTGGCAGACGAAGGCGAAAAAGCGAGAAAACGGCGAAAGGTTTTCTCTCTCTTTTTTTGGGGGGTGTTTTGGAGGCAGAGATTTATTGCTTAGGCTTTGCCCAAGGTTTGGGTTGGAGATTGGCGATGGTGGGGTACATATATTATTTAACTTATAAGTTAACTTCGTTAGGCTGTGGATGGCCAACGCAAACGCCCCCAGCTGTGTGTAAGACACCCGTAGAGCGTCTTAGAGCAGACAGAGATGGATGGAGAAGGGAATTCATTCCCGTATGCAGAACGGAAGAGCAGCAGAGATATAACTACTCAAATGATGCTGCGCTGGTTGTTGCGCTATTTGAGGACGTGGAATTGAGCTTTTACTGTAACTATTGAACTACATAACTACAATTAACTTATTTAACCAACAGTACGCAGCGTACTCGGTAAATACGGAGGATATATGTAGGCACGGCGAGATGCATCTTCATACAAACCGCACAATCCAGTCATCCCTCCGCCACGAGTACAGTCCATCTGATCAGCTCTTCACTCTTCCCCTTGCCTGTTCTCTCGCACATGATCCCGCCGGGTGTAAGTCAGCTGCGGTGGTGGGTGGTATGGCGTCAAAACACGATTAGACACAATTGAAGACACACGAGCCCAAATCCCAGGAATGGGAAGTAGCTTTAAAAGATGAAGTCTATTACAGGGTCTAGCCGTGTGGTTATCCGCCCAATCCATCCGTATTGAACTTGACATGGAATATATATGCTATGTGGCCAGCCAGCTCTCGGCCAGATAAGCTGCTGGAACGGCTCTCTCCACAATACCGTAGATATATAGCACCTGGCGCTGCTATGATTCACGCGCCCCGTCCTTTACAACCTCCCCTCCAGTCCCAGAGTCTCCCACAATTCCTCGCTTTTCTTAATCCCTTCTGGCAGCACCTCCGAACACCTCTCCCACACCTCCCTACAAATCCTCTTCCTCCCCACAGCCCTGCCCTTCCACATCCTCCACTCCCCATCTACTCTCTCTTGCTCTTCCACTGAAAGCACTCTCGTCGCAACCCTCCCATCCCTCAACGGCGCAAGACGACCTAATACCTCTTCCTTTTCCCGGTCCAGCCTGCATACGATTTCTCGTAGTTCGTCTGTAGGTACACGTGCGCTGAGGGCTGCCAGTTCCGCACGGAGGGCTTTCTCGTATTGTTTTGTTGAGGCGATTTGTGCGCGAAGGTTGGTTAGTTCGCTGTCAAGTGCGGAAAGTTGTGCTGGGGTGGAGTCTGAGGGGCCGTCTTGGAGGGCGTGGTAGACGATTTGTTTGCCTGGAAGGGGAAGGGATATTAACTTCCAAGAAAACTCAAAAGGTCTTCTTTTCAACATATGAATTACATATATGGACATACCAGCAACACGTGCTTCGATTTCCTTCCGCTCGTGCATCTCTTTCAATGCCTTGACGGTATATGCTATTCCCACCAAGATTATTCCCAGTTAACAAAATTAAGTCCCTATCCCAATACAAAATTACACGGATTATCCCGATAGGACTAGACAATACCTTTGCTCACCTTGTTGTGCAAATTGGCAGTGATGTCGATCGCCTTAGGGTTGCCATCAAGGTTAGAAAAGCAGACCAAATAACAGCTAGTTTCGTGTCCACTCACTGAATAAGGCCGACTATCGATCGAGTGTCAGCCCGTTTACTTTCATAGCGGAAAATGGTAAAAGGGTCAATGGACAATGGGGAAGGGAGGCATGTATGTACACCTACTTCTGCTGACCTATCCAATAACAGCAACCCCGACCATCAAGCAATATTAGCTTTTACTTCAACCTCGAATAGAAAGCCGTAAAAATGTAACCAGCTCTGAGAGCAATAGAATAGCGCACGCAGAAAGGCAAATTAAAAGGAAATATGCTATCTTTGCTTGCTCCTCGCGCCTCCAGAGACAAGAACTCACGAAGGTACTCTAAAATCATCGTTGCTCCTATTGAACATCGTTAATTATCTCAAGTACATCCTCGGTGTGATAGTGTGAAGGAAAAAGGGAGAAAAGGGAGGTAAGCATTAAGGCGCTAATGGCATACATGAAGGATGAACCTAGGAAGAATGAAAGAAGAGGACAACATAGATTTACTCACCATCTTCTCCCTTTTCCTTACTCTCTTTATCACTTTTCTCTTTGCGTGGCGCCATGTTTCTGAGATGGGATAAGACGGTATTGCTGAGCCTGTACGTATATGTGTGGCGTATCTTAACCACCCGCCTCGTGGGGGAGCGTCAGCAGCATGCGGAGATGGTTGGCAATATAGCGCGCAGGACATATATCCAGGAGTTACAAATAGTACCCATTATCCCAACCTCATGAACGCGCGCGAGACACGGGATTTATCAAATGGGTAGCGGGAAGAAGAGGACAAAGGTGTTAGGGATTGGTTTTGCATTGACATACGTTAACCAGTTTCGATCTCCAGGGGCTGAAAGAGGACTTAGACTGCTCAGGGCGTGTTCGTTTTCAGTGGTTCACTGCGAACTACACGCAATATCAAGTTGGCATGTGGGAGACACGAGGTAAAGGGAAGAAGGGGAGAAGACAAAGGAGACATGGGAGTTGTAGATGAAGATGGCTCTCCAACTTCTTCCTACTCGATGGCCATAATGGCAAAGAAAAGGGAGTGTATCACGTGCCAGGTGATGTTTGTTGCTGAAATGTGGGTATGAGTGAGGATATGGGGACTGAAGGAAACCAACCTACATACGTACATTTGACGCATATAGGTATGTAGAAAAAAGAAGAACATATACAGTTAGAAAAGACATATTGGTTTGCTTGGCTTTCTCCTTACATTAATATTATAGAGGAAGAAAGAAAGTGAAATATATGAGGACCACCTAGATTAAGCACGGCTACTTGTGCTTGCAAGGCAAGCAAAATAGTATTGGATACTCAAAGGCGAGAATGAGGAAGAGGTTGCAAACGAAATGAAAACCATAGGGAAAAGAAAGAAAGAAATATAAATAAATAAATAAAAGAAACCTGCTAAGTTTTATAGGAATGGATATATATACCTAGATAGGCATTGTCTGAAAACAAATTCAAGTAGTCCCAAAACACAGGCGCGCACACGACATAGAAAGGGGATTTGCCTGTAGGGTAGACAGGGAAAAGTTAAAAAAAAATACCAAACCGGTCTATCCATCGAATAGAATAACCAAAATATTTATCCAGCAGTCCAGCGCAGTTAATTGAAGTGGCGTGTGTTTTCTCTCTCTTTGTAGAGCGTTTCGGTATAAAACGGTTAGTTCATGGAAAATAATTTCCCTGCTTGTCCGCAAGTAGTCACGCGGGAACTAGATGGCATAGCAATAAAAAAGGTGATTGAAATGGAATGTCAATTATCCATAGCAGAACCAAAGGCCCGGGTAGTCTTAAAAACAATTTGCTTAGAAAAACATGAAAGGGAAGTCAAATTTCTTTTGTTTTTGTGGGGGAGAGAAGGAGGCAGGGGAAAGACTTAAGAAACGGAACAAGGGGTGTTTGCCGGCAACATGCACTAAGAGGCCAAGGCTTAGATAGCGCGGGCGGCGGGAGAATATTTTAGATTCAAATGAATCAAATAGTTACGATTGTCTTGCCGGCGGGGTTTAGCGAGCAGGACCTTATAAGCGGTTCAGAAGAAACGTGTAGGTTGGGTAGCCTCCTTTATCCATCGAGGAAACTAAACGACAAATCTTGTCGCCGCTATGGAAGGAAGGCCACTGAGAAAAGCGGGGGGATGAAGTGGAAGAGGTAGAAGAGGGGGAATCGGGGGGTGGGTAAATGATTATTTTTTAAAAAAGAAACGAAATGAAAGGGAAACTCCATATCGCTGTGCCGGCTTTGGAAATGAGAAACTGAAAGTAGAAACAACAATGGGTCAAATAAAAGTAAATGAGGTATCAAGTCTAAGTTAAGTGGAGGGGAGGGAGCTGAGCATCACATCACGATCTGCAAAAAGAATTGTCAGTTAAGTCCTCAGGGTCTGGGACAATTGGAGAAAAACCAATCTCTTTATGATTAGGCTACTTACACAATCGCTATCACCCTTGCCTTGTGGCACTCCCATCTCCTCGAAGGTTTTAGGTCCCTTGCCAGGGAGTCCGCCCACTGGCTTCTGCGCGGGCTGGCCTGACTGAGCGGGCTTCTGGCCAGGACGGGCTGCCGATGAGGCAGGGGCGGAAGTCATCTGCGGCTTCGATTCACCACGAGAAGGATAGTGGCCGCCTGATGAGGAGTGTGAGGATGACGGCACACGACTTCCCCGAGGGTCTGGATGTGGAACACCACTGTGGCCGGGTGCCATGGGCTGCATGGACCCATTATTATGTGGGTGGTCGGGACGTTGAAGGCGCCTTCTTCGGTCGGCACCGGAGGGTTCTGGAGGCGCGGAGTAGCCGATATCCAATTTCGGAGTGCCTGGCTGTGGTCGGTGGCCTTGCGCGTGTAACGAAGGGGATCCCCCGGTGGCCGGAACGCGGTTTTGCATGTGATTGGCGGAATGGGGGCGGATGTTCGGGTTGATTCCGAATGCGGAGCTTGATCGCGGGCTGTACTGGCCCGGGGAGTTGACATAGCCGGGATTAGGTCCGTCTGGATATGGCGCCGCCGACACTGGTCTCTGGTTCATGGAGTCTCTGCTAGAAATGGTCATGCGTGATGGGTCTGGCATTTCTAGGGTATCTTGTTGAACAGGCTGCGCGGTCTGGGGTTCCGCAAAGCGTTGAGCTCGTCCATGGGAAGCATACTGCGATTTAATACGCGCAATGGCAACACGCTCGTGGTCTTTTCTCGATAGGGTTTTGGAACGCGATATGCTGTCGATCCGGGAGCTGGCATCTTTGTTACCACTGGCCGCGGCCTTTGCATACCAGACCCGCGCTTCCTTGATGTTTACCGGAACGTATATTCCAATTTCATGGAAGTAGCCAAGCGCGAATTCTGCGGTTCCCAGTCCACTCTGGGCAGCCCGCTTTGCATATGTATACGCCATCTCGTCATTTTTCTCAAAAAGCCCCTCATGCCCGCATAGGAACCATTTGCTGATTGCCATTTCAGCCTCAGGTTCGCCTTGCCGTGCGGCAAGGGCATTGTAATGGAGAGATAAAGCAGGGTTGAAGTCACAACCCAGTTGACAGAGCTCGTACGCAGCTCCCATTTTCACTTGAGCTTTTGCGAACCCGTGGTACGCTGCTTTTTCGATGTTAATCCTCGCAGCATTTAAATCATACGGGAGATATTCGTCTGGAACAGCGACCTGTGGCAGTTCACGAGCCAGTAGCATCCCGTATACCTAAACAAAAATCAAGCAAAAGGAACCGTTAGTGGAAGGGCTTTGGAATAGAAACAAAAGGTAAAACTTACGTAGGCTCCCTGGGGCGCATTTTCGTCGCATGTTTGCGCGGCATATCGAATATGGTCTAAGCCCACAGCGTAGTCCTGGCGTTGTCCATGTTGACCCAGGAGGATCATCATTCCAAGCCTCTGTAGAAAGACGTTAGTTTCCGTATACGCCATATTGCAAATCCCTCCACTCCACAAATTGGTTCATTCTTACGTAGTTCGAGGCAGAGTCACCAAGGCTGACACCACGCTCATAGTGCTTAATCGCTTTGTGAGGCTCGCCTGAATTCTCAAACTGCATGCCCATGCGGTATTCTGCCCTTGCATACCCTTTCTCACTAGCTTGAGAATAGCAGAGAAAAGCCTCCTTCTTGTCAACACGGAAACCGAATTTGCCAAATTCTAGCCACATTGCCTTGATAAACAACGCTCTAGGGTGACTTTGCTCAGCCAGGAAGGACACGACATTGATGGCGTCTGTTTTCAATTGGCGCTCAATCTGTGGTGTTTGCGGTCGAGGGGGCTGGAAGGCGGCCATGCGGATCTCATTTTGCATGGCGACTTCGACATAGGAGAGAGCATCCTGAGCCCAGGCGAGCTGCATTTCTGGGTCATTTGAGCTGAGGACTGCAAGGCGACCACTCTCCAAATTTGCTTCTCGTTGATCATCGGTTGGAGGGACATTGGGTGGGGGATTCCGTAGAACCGGGAAAGGAGAGAAATTGGGCGTCTCGCTAAAGGACTGCGGAGGTTGTCCGTAGGCATCCTGGCCATAAGAGTCTGAATATGACTGGCTATCCTGCGCATAGCCTTGATTTGGGACCGACGACGTTCGATTTGGAAATTGCTGATGTTGTGGTGGTTGGTAATCGTACTGAGCGTTTTGGCTGGCCAAGCGGCTTGGGCCGTAAGCTTCCTGTTCAAGGTGGGCGAGATTATCTTGCATGTTTTCGGGGACTTCTGGCATCACCCTAATAAGAGCAGCAACAAAATTTAGTCAGTACAAATTCGAGGGGAGGGGGGTGATAAAAAAAAGTCGACGCGGAAGCTTTTAAGAGGAGGGGCCGTTTAGGTTTTGGAAGGCATGATATTCAGCCTTTTGGGGGGGGGGAAGAATAGTTTTTTGAATGAATTTTTCTTCATTCTCTTTTTTGTTGATTTCTTATTTTGTGGAACAAAGTCATATTACCTTTGAGGCGCTGGAGAGATCACTTCTGGCATTTGGAAAGCATCAACATTTCCTGGGTAGAACGTGGCGCCCATATGAGGATTGGAGGACTGTTGGTGGGCAGACATGGCGTCAAAAGAGGGACGGAGGGGACCAAGGGGTTTAATAATAAGAAGAATCCTCCCTGGCTTGTCACGCTGCCTGGCCGTAGCGGGAAGTGAGATTTACTAGCCACTCCTGGGCTGGGGTCTTTGACATGGGCTGGTTATCCTCTCGATCGTGGGCTGTGGAAGGTTGTATCTGTGTTCGCGTGGGAACGGCTAATTCGAAGCAACCCTGCTCGGACGGCCAAAGGCTATTATTATTGTATTATTTCTCGTAACTATTGTTGCTATCGGTGAGAGTGGATCTGTCAGACAATGGAATGGTGGACATGGTCTACTATCCAGCCCGCTATGTCCATGGACTCATCAGGCTGATGGGGGGGGATGCACAATCAATAATAGACTGGCCGAAGGAGAGAGGAAGGATGGAGGTTGGTGGTAGTGGTGGCAGCGGTGGCAGTCGTGGTGGGGATGGTTGGTTTGAAGTGTCGTTAGTTACGGACGGGGGCGGGTAATTATTGCAGACGTTTGCAGCTGCATACCG